AAATACCTCGGACTTAGTGATGTATTAAGACATATGACAAAACATGACATAAAACAAGCATACAGCACTGTTTAGAATCCATTTGGTCTGGTTTAGCGTAACCATGTAGGCGGCCATCTTTCACTTCTGTTGACAATATGCAGCTACCCAATTGGTGTAGCACGATCACGTGACAAACCGTGGCACTACTTTTGACCAAGATATTATTACGCTTTGAAGGGACTAGTTCAGTCAATAATTACGTGCCTAGAAGAATTGACAGGAATTTTAGCGACGAGACAATCGTCTGCCGTTTGAATATTTCCTGGCTCCTCCCATTTTTGTGTAGAGAAGGCTGGAGCCGCTACACAGAGGAGGGATGAGAGGGTGGTTTCCTTTGGACGACCTGCTAGTTGCTGGCTCGCTCCAGGGAGGAAGTCGCTTTACAGACGGTACATCTCGTATCGCATCTGTCAAAGCCTGGGTTTCATAACAAGTTGGAAGAAGAGCTGTCCTCTTCCCTCTCAGACAAACGTTATCTGGAGTGGAATTAAAAACTCAGCCAGCAGCAGAGCGCTCTCTGGCAGCGAGTGAGAAACTGACAGCTCTCCTCCGGCGTGTCACAAACCACACAGCCCTCTCCGTAACGCAGCTGCTCGGCATTAGCGTCAGCTGGTCACGGGGGGGATTCCCCTGGGTCTCCCCCACAGGTGGAGTCTCCAGAGGTGCTTCATTCACTGCAGAAGCCTGCTGTTTTAACCTATTGGTTTATAAACTGCAGAGCTCGAGGCATTCCTCTGTCCCAGATATGCCTTACACACGGTCATAATAAATCCACGAGCACTGTTATAACGCCTCGTGAGGACAGCATACACACACCTCTCATCCTCTGGGCGTGTACGCGCCTCATGATGAGAGACAGAGTGGAATGCAGCGTGTGGAAACTCCCTCGCAGCTTTTTTGCTTCACGGGCAGCAGCGGCGAGGGCGTGGCACGTCACCATGACGACCATTACGGCACATCACAGAGAAGCCTCTCCACCCAGCAGTTCCATGGGATGCAAGAAACACTCCCGTTATCCCAGGAACAGTGTTATTTCCGGCGAATTTAACCGAGGGGCTCGCAGAACGCAGCAGCCGTGCTATGCGAGGAGTATGGAGACTCAGACCGGTGTCACGCACACTGGCGCCTCAGTGGGATTTGGCTTTGGTGTTACGCGCACTAAAGAAAAACCCCATTTGAACCTGATCAGGTTCCCCTTAACTGTATTCAGCCAAAGTAGTACTGCTTTTGGCTCTATCAGAGGAAAGGGTGATCTGTCTGCTCTCCCGGTGGCTCCGTCATGTCTCCGGATCCATGGAGATGCAGTTCAGCTGTTTTACGCCCTAACCCGGCTTCATGCCTATAAGGTCATCACAACTCTTTTAGGTCAAGAATGATCACCCTGGCTGGCTTCTTCCCCCCTCCTCACAGGTCGGAGGAAGAAGAAACATCTCATCTCCTCTGCCAGGTGCGCGCGCTGTCTGCTATGTGGCGCGCACGGCGGCATTGCGCCGTTCTCAGCGCCTGTTTGTGCATTACAGAGAGCGCTCGATCGGGCAACCTCTGTCTACACAACGGCTGTCACACTGGCTGTGTGAGGCTGTGTCACAGGCATATGTCTCCTCTGGGGTGGAGCCCCCGGAGAATATCAAAGCGCACTCAACCAGAGGAAATTCCTCCTCCTCGGTGTTGCGCGGAGGAATGTCAGTGAAGATATTTGCACGGCTGCATCTTGGTCTTCCCCCTGCTCATTTATTCAATTGTATTTGAGGGATGTCTCCCTTTCCTCTCTGACACGCCCTGTACTGGGTGTCCTGTCAGAGTGAGTGACGTCAGGGATCCAGGGGATCCAGCTGAGAGCTCTCCTACCTGGCTGACACGGAGAGAGCGGCTGTTCCCCCTCTATGATCGCAGGACAAGGTGGGACCTTCGTCTCTACTTTCTCACAGCGGTCGGTATGTATTGTTCCCAGCCTTCACCCCGTCAGGAAAACAGGTATGTTTGCTCCAGGGACGGGGATGTGCCATTATGCATGGCACAACAGGCAGGGGGGTGTTATTAAGCAGGTATGTCTGTGCTTCTAGTGCTGGACGGACCCAGTGGGGCGCAGACTACATCATGCTTCGCCCTTAACCCAATAGCGATAGCCTTAGAGGGCGAAGCCATATACGAAATAGAACTGAGGTTACCTAACTGTAACCCAGCTTCTATGAGTATTGGCGCAGCCCTCTAAGCGCTGGGCCCCACTGGCTCTACGAATAGCCGAAGAAAAGTTATATTGTATGGGAGCAGATCGCCGGGCAACCTCCCTATTTATACCGGAAGGAGGCCCGAGGGTGGGGCCCACCTAGCGGGTGGGCGTGGACTACAAGTGTTTTCAGTACTGCGCGGGGGCGCAGAAGGGTAAACCCAATAGCGATAGCCTTAGAGGGCTGCGCCAATACTCATAGAAGCTGGGTTACAGTTAGGTAACCTCAGTTTTTCATTTTAATGTGTGTTGTTGTTGTTGTTGTTGTTGTTGTTGTTGTTGTTGTTGTTGTTGCGTCCGGCAGTGGCTCAGTGTTAGCAAATATAATTAAGAGGGTTATAAAATCAGTAGTGGGGAACGCAGGCGTATAGTATTCCAGGGAGGGATATTTGTGACACTATTAGTAGTATTAGGGACACAATTACTCACATGAAGGAGGGTATAGGTGATATAGTAGTTAGTTTAGATTTAAATAAAGCTTTTGATCGGGTTAGTCATTGACATTTTGGAAGATGAGGGGGCTTAAGTTGTTGGATAGTGTAGTGAATGAAATAGATAAGATAGTTAGTGAGTGAGTTTATATGGGATATGAGGGGGTAAGGATAGCTAGAGAAGTGTTAGAAAATGAGTTTAGGGATGGAGGTTTACAGCTGATAAACTTAAGAAGGAACATTAAAGCAATTAGGATTATAATGATGGTTCGCTATTTATGGAAAATATTCTTAAAGGAAAAAATAAATAAATGTGGAGGATGTGGTGATAGTGCTATTTGTATGGTGCTAAGAAAGGGGATGTTGAAAGGGTTGAGTGCTTATCAAAGGGAAGTAATGAGTGCATGGGGTGAGTTTTTGAAGTATGTTAGGTATGAGTGTGTGAATGTGCAGCAGGTGTGGGAGCAACCGATCTTCCTTAACCCCAGGATCACTCATGAGAAGTGTTGTTTATTCAATCTGCCGATGTGGAGAGCGGGGATGAGGAGGGTTAAGGACTTTGTTTTAGAGTACGTACCAGGCTTTATGAGGGCACAGGTGATAGTGGATGAGTAGGGTTAAGGACTTAGTTTTAGAGTACGTACCAGGCTTTATGAGGGCACAGGTGATAGTGGATGAGTAGGGTTAAGGACTTAGTTTTAGAGTACGTACCAGGCTTTATGAGGGCACAGGTGATAGTGGATGAGGAGGGTTAAGGACTTAGTTTTAGAGTACGTACCAGGCTTTATGAGGGCACAGGTGATAGTGGATGAGGTTAGGGAAATAGATGAGGTAATGTATTTAGGGACAGCTGAACGAATGATGAAGGAAATTAAAGATGGAATGCCGAGTGAATGGTTAACAATGATTGAGAGTGAGATCATTATGAAAGGAAAGTGTGTTTGATTTATATGTGGGGAAAGAGGATGTCAATGTTAAAATAGAAAATGTTTAAACAAAAAATATGTATAAATGGTTAAAAGGGAATGTTATCAGAAGACCTGCATCAGAAAGAGTATGGACGAGTGTTGTGAACGCTCTTACTGGCAGAAGAATGTGGGAGAATGTGAAAATTAAATGGAACCGTATTGAATGTGAGCATTTTGATTTTTTTGTTGAGGCAAAATAGGGTGTTTAACAACCTGATCATTAGTCATTTTGATGCAACTGTTGAGAGAGAGTGTGATGTTTGTAGAGACCAGGTTGAAACATGTTTGCATGAGTTTGTTGAATGTAGAGAGCTTGTAGTGTTTTTTGGAAGGATGAAAGAGTTAATTGGTAGATGTTGGAATGAATGGTGAGAGAAATGGAATGGAAGGAGCTGTGGCTGTTTGGTGTGATTGAGAAGAAGGATGAATGCAATGTGAATCTATTAAACTATGTTCTGAGCCACGCCAGGCGTGCGGTCAAGATAAGGAGGAACATTGCCCATTTCGAGGGTAAATTGTCTGACGTGTGGCATATAATGAAGAGGACAACAAAAAGGGACATAAACCTTGTTCTCATACACGTGAAAAAGGACATATTTTGCGAGGATTTCGTAAATGGCAGCAAATTAATTGAGCTGGATGAGGAGGGAGCTCTGTGCTTCAACTTTGAAAAATAACATAAGAGACACTTTGTTTCAGTGAAAAACGGACAGTTTATGTTTTGTTTTGATTGGTTTGAATTGATTTGTTTGAGTTTTTTTTGTTTTTTTTGTTTATTGGTTTATATCATTTTATGTCTGTGTTTCATACAAATTATGAAACTATACGGTATATTAAATGTGTGTCTTTGTTATATGCTGTAAGTACTTTATGTAATTGTGATGAACTGTTAAATGAAAAAAAAAAGATTAAAAAAAAGGGCTTGGACTATGAGCCGTAGGGTCGCCGGTTCAAGTCCCCGAACAGACCTAAATATGGAGTGTGGACTGCTACTTGGAGAGGTCCCAGTTCACCTCCTAGGCCCTGCCGTGGTGCCCTTGAGCAAGGCACCGGACAACCCCCTTCCCCCCCCCCCCACTCCCATTGCTCCCCGGGCGCTGTACAATAGCTGCCCACTGCTCCTAGTACTAGACTCCTAGTACTAGGATGGGTTAAATGCAGAGGGCCAAATGTCACTGTGTGTGCTGTGTGCTCTGCATGTGTGACCATTAAAGAGGGGATTCATCCCTCCGGTTCTATCTATCTATCTATTATGAAATTATGTAACATTTTGACCTTTAAAGCAACCTAACTTCCATGTCATTATGGTAACGGAACTTTCTTGTCTTATAGTACAAAGCCTACAAAATCAAAAAAGGTGATACAGGGACACATTACCCTTTTGTCTTCAATGACGTCATGGGCCTCGAGAAGGATGAAGGAGTTTGTGTGGAAGACATCAAACTGGCCATTAAGGGACACGTGAAGAATGGTTACAATGTACAACTGAATTCTTTAAACCTTATCTCTGTTGCATATATTTGAGGAACACGATCCCACTGCATGATAAATATTTTGCACATGAAATATGGAAAACTAACAAGGTTCCAATAGAAACTATTGTATTTCTGATTTCTAATGTTATTTTTTGATTCAATTTAACATTGTTTTTCAGTTCAATCCTCGGTCTTCCTTGTCTGAGGATAACCAACACTACAACAGAGACCCGTCTCTAAATGACAGAGTTCATGTTCTGGTTTGCATCATCCCTGGCAGCATAGCAGGATTGCAGGATGATTCTGTGAGAAAGTTGAGGGAAGTCAGACTTGCAGCCAGGGACATGGGTAAGGGTTAGGCTTTTACAATAATGCATAACATTAAATCTGACATAAATTATATATATATTCTATTTTTATATAATAAGAACAAATATAATAATGCCAATAAAATAACTGTACCAACATTATTTTTAACTGATTTTGATTCTGCTCTGTATTGGCAGACATTCCTGAAATTGCTATTCTCACCAAAATTGATGAAGCCTGTCCAGAGGTTGGAAAGGATATAAGGAACGTGTATAAGAGCAAGCACCTGAAGAAAAAGGTAAGTTTCTGTCTGTAATTTAGTTTTGTAAAGAGCTGTAATTCATTTTGGGATATCATTTTGTTTTACACTGTAATATTGTAATAACCGCAAAATCTCCTTGGATCAGCACTTTCATTTATTAAATGTCATTCTAAATGTAGATTGAGAGTTGAGTGGCGTGCTGGGTTTCCCTCCAAGCTGCATCTTTCCTGTGAAGAACTACCATGAAGAGCACGAGACAAGTGATGACACAGATACACTGATACTGAGCGCACTGACACGGATGATTAAATCTGGAAAAGACTTTGTCAACGACCTGTAAATGACATACTGCTGAGGCAGGTCTTGTTGTTATGACAACATGTTAAAAGCATGTCTGGAATGATAATTACATAAAGTGGGCAATATGGCTTTTAGACTTTTTTTTTGCAGCCTGTAATGCATCATATCTATAATAGAAATGATGGTGTCCCTACCTTAACTGAGTAAAGTATGAAAATGCTATATTTGTCCTATATTTGAAGTTTTTTTTCATTGTGATACTGTTAGTTATATACGGAAGAGGATTAGGGCCACATGAAAACTACATTTGGAGGATTGAAAAAAATAATAATTTTTTTTGTAAAAATAAAATGTTTTGTTCTGAAGAAAAAGTCAGAATTCTGAGATTAAAGTCAGAATTCTGACTTTTTTCTCAGAACACAGCATTTTATTTTTATTTTTATCAGAACAAAAAACAATATATTTTGACTTTTATTTATTTTGTTCGAGAAAGTTAGCGGTGCGCCAAGGAGGACGTGGAGCACCAGGAGAAAACCATTTAATTGCAGACTGTTGTGTTTATGTGGGGAAATGACAGTGCATACATTCGGACTCGGACTTCATTTTTAGGACATTTCTGCCAGGGGTGTTGAGCTATTGGTTTAAGCACCGGATTGGCAAACAGTAAACCAGTAAACCAGTCTGCCTTGATATATGAATTCATGCCCATGACTCTCACAGTATCTGATGCCCACAGCTCTTTTATAGAAGGAAAACAAATACTCAGAACACATACACACAGAGCGAGCTGAGCAGAGCACAAACAGACTCGCATCATGCACCCTGATGACCGGACATCTCCTTCATAAAACGAGTAATAGGGGGAATAATCGGGCAGTTCGATGTGTGTAGAGGTGTGGTTGTGTGTGTCAGAATTCTGAGATTAAAGTCAGAATTCTGATTTTTCTCTCCAAATTTTTTTTTTCATGTGGCCCTAATCCGTAGTTTATATGCTTTGTTGATTCAGGTGGTAATTTATATTGCCGTCTCCAGGTAATCAAAATCTGAATATTCGTAGGTCGAAGATGAGATTTGGTAAAATGTGTTCAGAATAATGATAACATATGCTGTACCTGTCATTGATTCAAAAGTGTTTTGTATATAATTTGTTTTAATGTAATCAGATCATATTCATCAAATAATGATAAAATCAATATTTTAATGACATAATAAACATATGTTTCAATCAAGACAACAGATCAGAGCAGTTCTGTGATATGCAGCTCATTCAGATCAAAGCAGCTTCACTTGTCTCTAAGAAAACCCTCGTCAGGTTTTAAAACATGCATGTGATTACACTCAAAAACAATACATGGTGTTTCTTATTTTGCTTGCATTAAATGGTTCAACAAATCAAATGAAGTTATATTTATATAGCATATTTATATAGCACATTTATAAACGATTTTTGGTCGAGCCAAAGTGCTGTACATATAATAAAAATAGCCTATTGTAGAGACACTTTACAGCAAATACAACAGCACAGATTGTTCAGAATAACAGTATGAGAAAAAACGACACCCTCTGTCCTGAGACCCTCACATTTGTACAAGGAAAAACTTCCAGAGAAAACCCACAGTTTAAGGGGAAAAAATGGGAGAAACCTCAGGGAGAGCAACAGAGGAGGGATCCCTCTCCCAGGACGATCAGACGAGCAATAGATGCCGTGTGTAAATCGAAGAGATAATACATTTTACAGCATAGGTAGTCCAAATGTTAGGAAATGCATGTGTCTGTAATAAGAAGATGAATCCACGAGGATGTCAGCTACATCCTGTGGAAGCCATCAGGGAAGCAGCATGACGAGACCCAGGCAGGACCGCAGAGACAGGTTCAGCCACGACCGAAGTCCACGACTTAATCCAGAAACTCAGGATAGAGGATCTAGGACACAGGACTACAACAGAGGATCAGCCTCGACTCCGGATCCCGGCGTAGATATAGATACAAAACAGAAAAAATGTGGCTGGATTCCTGTACAATAACTTCATTACAAGAACATTCCATAATGATGTTTAGTCTGTAATATTTCTTAAATTCAATTTCAAACAGTTACTTATCTTAATAAAAAACATTCTAATTACATTTTAGATTTATTGCTACATATACATTATTTGTATTATTTCCATACTGCTGCTGCCTCTCGAGGTTAAGAGTAATACTACAGCACATAACACAGAATGACAGAGTGCAATGCCAAAAATAGAACCGGGCTGTTGAGAAAACATCCGTAGCTGCAGCCCTGCAAGCCCGCCCCTCCCTTCTCCCAGGATTATTTTAAATCACGTGATCTAAAGGAATCTGTAGATACCACCAAACCAGAATATAACAGTTATACTGGACACACTTCACATTCAAACCATGTTTTTGTATTTCAATAGTATTTGGGTAAACTCATGAGAAAGTGTGTTTAAGTTCTAAAGTCACATTCAGATTACATTTTTTAAAATGGGTGTAGAGGTCTACTGTTGGATCTGACACAGACTAAATGCATCCAGTCATTCAGTTGTGACTAAGTGTACTATTGTCATTTGTGAAGAATGACTAAAGAGAAATCAACATTAAGTTGTACATCGATAAAGGCAATTCCTTTAAGTCACGGTGTGCTATAACTGAACATGAAAGTGAAAGTGAGCAGTTGTTATCATATAAAAGAGACTTTCATTTCGAGTTGAGAGGCACTTGGGTGAGAGACACATACAACTGAAGGAGAGGATTTATATCACTTCGCAATTCTTGTTATGCTTTCATCATTTTGATTATTGTTACGTCCCAACTAGGGGAAGAAGAATGCAACACACACCAGTATGTAATTGGTAATAATTATAAGTGGTTTTATTATAAACGGGAGAATCAAAATGGCAGGCAAGCAGCCTGAACAAAAGGGCCAAAAGGGCACAGGTTGATAACCAAACAAAAGGAGGACTCTAAAAAAGGAGTCTAATGGCTTACAGGGAAAATAAATACTAATATAAAGAACGAAACAAAACCTCACTTTAAAAGTGGTACAACTAACCAAATAATCTATACAAAACACAGCTAAACTAAAGGCAACAGTCACACAATACTAACCACTCTAAATACAGACCACACAAGTTAACCATAGAACAAAGAGCAAGTAGCGAGAGGCGTCTGTTCACTCAACAGAGCCTCCAGAGTGGTAGTTATTAGTGATGTTACGTATTGCGTCGAGGCTTCGGAGCGTGTTTCCCCGAATCCCCGAAGCTTTTTGTGAAGCATGTATCGAGGCTTGTATGTGTGACGTCATCGATGACAAACGAAGCCTCGCTGCCTGTCGATAACACGTGACTGCTTCAGGAAGCGATTCAGATCGGTTGAACCAGCACCATTCTTTCACACCACACATACGGGTTTTGGGCCGAGGGCGACACCGTACTTCCGGTATCAACCATTTCACACGAGGTGCATACAGAATATCATAGTCGATTGCCTTAATCAATATAGTCAACTCTAAAATACCACACATATGCATTGGCATGATAATATTATTGTGACAAGTGGGGTATTCACCTGGTGTTTCCAGAAGATAGACGTAGATGCCAAAATCGACCGAAGGCCACTTTCTAGAGTTGTTTTTCCATACATCTGCAGGTAGTCTGTAAGGGCAATCGGACAACCCACACAGCTCTAGTTTACGCTGGTAATGACCTAGAGCACACCCCTCAAGTCCAGAGATGTAATCCGAAGACATGCAGCGATTTCTTCGCTGTCGTTAATTCAGAAAAATTCAGAAAAAAACCTAGTGCGCTCTGCCTGGCTACTTTACCTAGCTGTTTATATTAGCGCCTCCAGGATATTAGTACCTCCAGGAAAATTGCGTATTTATATATATATATGGCACGCGTTGCATTGTGGGTAGCTCGTGACGTCACTGTGTGTGAAAGAATTCAAAAGATTATTTCCGCGGCACACCTTCATATGATCATTATAGTTATAAAAACAATAAGAGAATAAATGAAAAACAGGTATGAAATACTATATGGCAGTAAAACAAGAATACAGTTTAAAAGGGGAGTGATTTGTAAAATATCCATAAAGAAAAAGAAAATCTGTTTACAGTTCTGTTTCATCTGGGTGCTGAGAGAGGTATCCATAGATCTCTTCATGTTGCTCTCAAAGTGCACCAGATTGATGCTTTCAACTTCAATATTAAAAAAAAAATCTGCCTATATGCCGTGAGCTGATTATGGAGTAGTGTTATCACGATACCAACATTTTGGTTTCGATACCGATACCAAGTCAAGAATTGCGATTCCGATTCTTTTTCGATACTTTTCTTAAAAAAAGGGAAACAGTCTTAAATGTAATTATTGTGCTTTATTTCACACCAGAACCATAACCATAACACAAACTTTTAAACAATGAGAACAATAAATTAAATAAATGACTAGAATTTGTATTAAATACAATCAAGCATCATCTATAAACAACTTTTTAATTTTTCGCTTCTGGCGTCTTTTTTGTCAACAAGCCGAGGCGCAGCGGCAGTTGCACTCCCACTTGCAGCCATGCTTCTCGCTTTCTCACATGCTCTGGCAGCTAGCGTGTGCACGAGAGAGGGGAGGGACTTAGAGCGTGCTTGAGAGGGGAGGGACTGCAGGCATGGCTGCAGTGCAGGGAGTGGAAGCAGAGCGCTGAATACACACGGCTCTTATTAAAACGACGCTTTCTCACCG